TTTTAACTAACACTAAGGGTGCAGATATGCTGTTCTCTGCTGCAGAATGAAGACAGATACATCCCCATGCATTTGCTGGGCTTAGGCAGCTGAGAGAGAGGGTACAACTCCTGAATGTAATGAAACTTTAACACCATTGCTTTGGCCTAAGACATGGAACCTCCCTGAAAGAAAAATCTGAACACTGCATAGAAAAGAAAGCCCTTTGTAGGTTATGTGAGAACAGGAGCAAAGGAAACAGTACACAAATCAAACTGACTTACTCCCATGCAATAGCTGCCACCATCAACAGGTACATCAGATAGTGAGCAGAGCCATCCCAGTAGCAGATCACATGGCCATAGGCAGTGTTCAGATATGGCTCACCCTAGGGAAACATGTATTTTAGAAGAGATTCAGTGATTAGAGGAAGAATAACAAATAATTAATAAAGAACAGCAAGAAATAAGTTCAGAAAAGTAACTGGTGTTCTTGCAATCCAGTGGTACAGTTTTTGACTGACAACACATATTTCCAAGCACAGACCTGATGTGTGCAGGATCAGCTATAATTAAATGAGTTCTAGAGTTGCAAAATAGGGGGCAAGATGGGAGGGAAAACTCCTATGTGTGACTGTCAGCATTACTCTGCTACATTATGGAAATATGACTTTTCCATATTTTAGTGATAAAAGCTACAAAATAAAGATACATTTAGCATGGAACAAATGCAGATATATTTAGCAACCTAGAGATCTACAACAGTATTGAATATATTACTGCCAATGTATAACCTTGTAAGGTCCAACGCATTTCTCACTTAGGTTCATGGAATCTTTTCAATGACTTCAGTGACTTTCATATCAAGCTCTTACTGAGCTATTTTTGGTGGATGTTGATATTTAGGAGCCAACAGATTCTGCTGACTAGGTACCTGGCATCATCATTTTTTAGCTCTACTTTAATTCCTTTCAGTAAAGTGATTAGGCAAAAATAAAACAGCAATTTTGTTTTCTTCTTGGTAACACATTTAGGTGCTGCCAGATTCCACTCCTGGGTGCTGTCTATGGCTTTCTGCAAACACGTGCAGTCCATCCATTTCCCAGAAGTTAATACAGAACAGGGTTATTTAAACTAAGTGAAATAATGTTGGAGTATGAAAGGTACATTCTTTTTCCCAAAGGAGTCAGTGGTTTCAAGCCAGAGAAGGTTTTGTCCATAACAATAACAGAGCAGGTCAATGGCAAAATTCAAGACCCACTGAATGTGTATTTGTATGAATGGCTATTTCTCTGTGACAAATACTACACCAAGTTATTTATAGTGAAGATTTTATTTACATTTGTAAGCCAAACTATTATTTACCTCTCTCAAGTAATGAGTCATGAATCCATCAATAATTCCATCCTGTTCCAACCCAATTATTAGGTTCACTACACTGGTAAAGGCAAATACAGCATAAACTGTAATAAGATAAGGAAAAGAAATTAATAAAGACTTGGAATCACACAGTTGCTTCACAGTCTGATAAATTCAGTCAGACAGAGATCTATTGAACTAGTTGCATCTACTTTGAGGTCACAGATATTTAACACACAATATGACTTTCCCACATAGCTCAGTATTTTTTAATTAGGGGTTAGTCAACACAGTTCTTAGGAAGCTTTTCTGAGGAATGTGAAATTCTGTAGAGCTGTAGGCACAGCCTCCATGGAAGGTCAGTGTCTGCAGAAAGGGCTATGTAGCCTTTCAAAAATCTTGGATACATGAAGTATACAGCCTTGACTGTAGTCATCACTTGGAAAGGAGAAAGGACAACAAAAAGGAGGCAGAGAAGGAGTTGTCATTTTTTCAGGTGAGCAAGGCACATACATGACCCATGGCAGTCTGTAGCAGACCTTGCTGGCAAATTAGCCAGTCCCTCCTCTGGGACAGGAAATTTAGCTTCATCACAACCAGGACATACCATAAAACAGCGGGTCTTTTGGTGGTTTTCTTTTGACAAGAACACGAGCCAACAGAGCAATAAGAACCAGAACCAGCAATCCAACTGCAACGATTACCCAGGAACTGCAACAGTATTTAAAAAAAACAAGTTTAAAAGAAAGACAAAGACAGAATTTTGCTTCTTCAGCTTTTCTTACCAGCTATCCTCAAACATACATACTCTTAAAGTAACTTCTAATATTTTAAAAGGCAGATTTTAAAGTCCCTTTCATAGTCCATCATAGTACTTATTTTATAGTTCTGCAGAATTTATGTGCCTCTGTTTTCACATGTGATCAGCTAAAAAAAGAAAATACGAAAATAGCTAGATAAACAACATATCCAGAAGTCTAGATTTGTCAGACTAAAATCAGTTTTCATACTGGTATCTGCAAAAATAAACAAAAATCATGGGAAAATTAAAGGCCAATGAGAGGTGAAGATCAAACCCACAGAGATTTCAAGGCCAGAAAGGATCATTGGGGCCATTTCACCTAACCTCAGCAATAAATTATCTACCCAGGAAATGACATATTCAAAATGAAAATGCATCAGTTCCATGGCATAGGAGTGGCAGTGTGGAGCACCTATAATGGATCTAGCTTTCATGTTCAGTTTTGGAAGTGCTACCGGGGGTCTCTCTGGCCCTACAAGGAAGGACCATTTGAGGGGTTTCAGTAATCAATGGGCTCAGTGGAAAACATCTTTTCCCTGGAGATGGAGCCATAATGTTAGTGCATGTAAAGTGATGACAGGGGAAAGCACAAAAAATCTTTGGCATAAGGCAAATTTGTCTCCAAAGACAACCTAGGAAAACCAGTTTAAAATTGTTTTATAGCTCTGAGTATGTAAATTATACTTAGCTCTCTAAGACTGTCCTCCTCAGTGTTCAATTTTGTGCTTGTGTAAGAAAAAAATGAAGAGGAAAATTAGGTAAAGCACAGATGCATAAGCTAAAAATATCTGATACATCATTTCATACATAGTACCACTCCGTGTCAAGAAAACAAATTGTGTACAAACAAATTATATTACGACAATTTCAGCCTTAGTGAAACTTGACTTAAAATTATTGCAAAAAATCTGCAGGACCAAATATTTCAGAATATATATACACATACTTTCTTGAGTCAGGATGATCAGTACTAGCTTGTTGATTTATCTCATGGTTTGAATCTTCTGATAGTCTGTTTTCCCAGGGATGAATTTCTTCATACTGTTACAGCTGTTAATATTGCAGTGACTTTTCACTGCAGTTTATCATTTTGAAATAAATATTGGCAATGAATCAAGTAAGTCAGCATGTGTTATTCGACATTACTCCAGCAATGAGAAACCAAAGGTTTTGCTATCAGCCAGAAGGAGGAAAATGAGGAAGGAACAGATGTAGCAAAGCCTTTAAAACATGAAGCAAATATTTGTGCAGTAGTTGCAAAACACCCCAGGCTGTTGGGATCACAAAATACCACTCAGACCTTTAAGTGAACCGGTTTTTGCCATGAAGAAAGACTTTTCTTTTCTAGACCTGCTGTTTATCCTGGGACCGCGTGTTTTGGCAGAGCGAGGGCATACGGTCATTATTAGTTAAACTCGCAGGCTCAGGGGGTGCCTGTAGGAAGCCTGCGGGAGCTCTCCGAGGCTGGCGAGTTCTTCCACTCCTTGGATTTTGTTTGTGAATGCCCGGACAGGGAGCCGGAGGGAGGCTGCCCCCGGTCCCGGCACGGGCGGTACCGTCCGGGTTGCTCCGTCCCCTCGGCGGTACCGCCAGCCCGGGGTGACCGGAGCTCCGGGACACGCTCCAGGTGATGGACACCGGCAGCGTGGAGGGTCCCGGGGTGAGCGGTCAGGCTGGGCTCCCCCTCTGCATCCCAGAGGACACGGGCAGGACCCGGGAGCGACGAGGCGAGGTCCGCTCCGCTGCCCCGCTCCACCGCCCGCCCCGTCCCGCTCAGCCCCGCGCCGCCGACAAAAACACCCGCGGGGACCCCCCGCACCGCCCCGGCCGCCGCCCCGCTCACCTGCCGGTGGCCGCCAGGCAGTTGAAGAGGTACGTGACGGGGATGGCGGTGAGCGAGAGCACGAACACGCCGGTGGCCGCCGAGGCGCTCATCGCCGCGGCGGGAGGCGGCGGCCGCCCTGCTCGCCCCAGCCGAGCGCCGCGCCGGGCCCGAGGCACCGCCTCGCCCCAGCCCCGCACGCCCCGCGGCCCCGGCCCGCCGCCCGCCCCATCGCCGACGGCCGCCCCCCCGCCCTGCGCGGGGAAGGTTAAATCCGCCTCGGAAACCGGAGCCGCCCGGAGAGCGCCTCGGAGCTCTGCCCGCCCCCGGGGCTCGCCTCGCTCCCCTCGCCCCTGCCCCGCGGTCGGGGATCGCTCGACGGGCGATGCTGCGGGATGGGGGGCGCGGGTCCAGCCCGGCGGGGACGGGCGCTCCTCCGCGGCCCGGCAGTGGCCGAGGGGCTGCCGTGACGGCCGGGCTGAGCGCCGCCAAAGAGGCGTCACGGGTTAACTGCGGGTGACGGCGCGGCGAGGTACCGGGGCGGCGGCAGCCGGAGCGCGGGGTCCACGGAACCGATCCGGGCTCATGAGAGGTGGTAGATGGAGAGAGGGTCCCCTTGGTCTCCCTGAGAAACCCGTAAAAATATTATGCATCTCTTTTGCATCAGTATTTAGCTGGGTTAATAAGAACATGGACAGTTAATAAGGACAAGGACATTAGCGTCTTTAAAATGACGGGGAAAAAAATTGTGAACTCACCCTTTCCGTTTTAAATGTCAAAAATAATTAGCAAAAGTTAAGCATATGTCTGACCTTGTCCATCAGAGTTTTTTTCCTGGCTTCAAACTTTGTTTATATATGGGTATCAACACTAAAGTGTCGGTGGTGGAATGAGCCTTGTGCACAAGGTAAACAGAAATGAAAACCGCTGTTCCTAGAAGTTACTGAGTGTTTAATTCCAGGACACGGACAAGTGAGATTGATCATCCTGTGTTGCTTGGAGAAAACAGCAAATGCACTTCTAGCACGCCAGGAAATCTCTTTCTGGAAGAATTAACGCTGTTGTAAAAGCACCCCTCTGCAATAGTGGGCACAATTCCGATTCCGATTGTTGAAATGAGACAATGGAGGACTGCTAAGGTGGCTGAGGAAATAGGGCACCTGCCTGTCAGGAAGAGGCTGAAGAGATTGGGATATGAGCTGTCTGTAAATACTTGAGGAGTTAACACCAGTGAGAGGAAAAAACTCCTTAGTTTGAAGGATGAAGCTGTGAAGAAACTTTCACTAGTTTTCAGAAACAGCCATGAGCAACAAAGGATCTTCTAAGTGCTTTACCCTAAATTTGGTAAGTTTAAGCAATAGACTAATTGAAATAATACCTCCCTCTGAAAGGAACTTGATGACCCAGATTATATCTATGTCCTGTATATTATACACAAACAAATTCTTGTTAAGTTTTTCAAGTGAGAAAGGTCTAGAATCTGGCCATGGGTACACAAATGGGTTAAACCATGCCCAATCAAACTATCCAGTAAAAACATGATGCAACTCCTAGAAGTAATTTAGTCCACCCAAGTGTCAGAATTGCCATTGGATGAGTCAGGGCTAAATTTACCTCCTCCAAATGCCTACCTTTCAATGCACAGCCGGTTTACTTCTCAAGCTTTCAAATGTATAGGCTGCTTATTTGTATGCAGTTGCCACAGTGCAGCCTCAAGATTCATGTCTCAAGCTTTGCTTCTCAGTTCCTGCATCTGTAAAGTCAAACACTTTCTTTCTTACCCCTCTGCCAGCATATTCCAGCTCTGATTTGCACACAGCTTGTTCATCAAGTCCTATTTCAACTTCTGAGTAGAAAATGCTAAGGCATTTCCAAAAGAGCACGTTTTTCCCTTTCATTTTCATCTCTTACTGTGTGAAAGAACTAGTGAGCCTTTCAGCTCCATCATTCCTTTCCATGCCCTGACAGAGGAGGCCCCCAAGTCCACCCATGATAGTGCTGAACATGTAGACTCTAGTATGCCACACTTTCCATATCAGAAGAATTTTTCTTCTAGTAGCTACAGAGACTTTCAACTCTAGCCTTTCTTCTCTGTGCCAAAATATCCTGGCTTCTATTTCAGGCTTTAGGAAGAAAATAAAATTCCCCAGCAATCTTGTTGACTTTACAGTTGAAACCAATTCTAGAGAAAAAGGAAAACTTGCTCAGTTGGCACAGTCTGAAACCACTGACCAACTTCCCCAATGGCACATAGTTCAAAATTGGGCTTCAGTCAGAAATTAAATCAAACAGCAAACAATCTTAGTGATCAAACAACACTCCCACTTGAAAACCAGGAGTCCTCAAAAACTAACACATGCATTTCTTGACAACTTTAAGTGTTCTTGTGGGGGAGGAAGGGGAAAGAAGAACTTAAACTTCAACTGCTTGTAACACCACCCTCTATTCACATGTACCAGAACAGTGATACAAAAATGAAGGTAGGAATAGGGTGTTTCTAACAACATAATTACTAATCAAAGTGTTATATGAAAGCAGTGTTGATAAGCTGCTGTCACCAGAATAAGTGTAACCTCTCAGCTTCCTGTCACATAATTATGTTCATTTCTTGATGTTGCAAAGTCTTTTTTTCTTTTTTTTTCCCCCTGAATTTTATAAATGGTAACATCATCATGGGACGTGGATGTCATCACTTGTAGAAAATCAAATACATTTAACTATTTAGCAATATTAGATGTCAGGATAAGATTGAAAAAAATGTATATCCTACACGAACTGCAATGAAGTTTAGGAGAGCAAAATGGAGTAATGGAAACATGAAAATTAAGACTCTTTCCCATGCAGAAATTGTCAGAGGATCATATTTATTGACATGAGATTCCTAGAGTTCTGATCTTATATTTCACCTGAAAAATAGTCCCTTCAGCAGCACAGTGCCAAAACCAATGATCCTTTACCTCACTGTAACATTCCTGTGTCAGAAGCTACATCATTTCTGTCTAATTGGTCATTTTAGAATAGGTAACCCAACTCTCTGTCAAATCACAAGTATCAGCCTTATGCCACATGTCAGATTCCTCACTGGGAATCCTGACCACAGCAACCAGCCAGTTCCACTTGTGTGGCCCCTCAGCTGGCACTGCTCAACTCACAAACAATATGCTTGGGCTGATGTTTGTCAGCTTCTCGATTAGACCATTAATCAGTACTTATATTATGGAAGATGTTTCTCTCCAGTCTCTGTACTAAATGGTGGCAGATCAGTTTTGATGTCAGGACTGACAAGGCATTTGTAAGTGTGCCAGCAAAAGGATATTGTGGAGGATATAAAAATACTTATTTATTAATGGTCAGCTATGAAGTAGGAGACTAACTGGCCATTAGGTCTTTGTGTCTACTTTTAGTCTGGGAAACAGCTCTTATCTTTAATAACTGTCTGTTAAATCATGACAAATTGTAAGGTTTAACATTATATCAAGACACACTTGACATTATTTTAAAGAAAAATTACATTAATCTAAACAAATGTAGGGAGCTGAACCTTAAGCAAGCACATGAAGATCAATGCAAGGATTAAGAGACACTATTTATATCTCTTGGAAGTACTGCTCATGTGTTCACACAGGGCTCTGCCAAGCAGTAAGCTTTCATTGCTTTATGATGCCAGCTACAAAATACCATCCTGGTACAAAACAACTTGTGTCATTCAATTTTTATGGAACTAAGCTGATACATTCTCCGGGGTGTATTTCCTGTATTTGCAAGTGACTTCTTAAGGCAAGAGGAGTCAGTAAAGCCAATAGATCAGATAAAGATGGATTAAAATGTGAACTAAATAATGAATTAAAAGCTTCACATTTGAGACTTCTGTTAATGTGTTAATTTGCTGAGGGAGCAGCTTAGATCATAGATAACTGCAATCCTCTAACAGCTTTAAAGCCAATCTATTTTATTTCTGAATTTCTTGTTAGTTGAGGATACCAGATGTAATAAATGATGGTGTATTGTAAATCTCAGACTGCATGGTGCACCAGAGGCAACACAATGTAGCTCATATGGTATGCACTGGGGGTCAGGAGGCCACGTACTAATGATCTGCTGAGGATCTGGGGGGATTCGCCAGCAGCAGTCACAGCACCAAAGAAGCATTCAAAGGGGAAATTTACTGATTAGTGTTCATATCACCTACAAATTGGATATCAGTACTTTAAAAACAGAGCTGATTTTTGTGCTACAGCCTGTATTCACCAACCAATAATCTTAGGAGGAAAAAAGATGTGTCAGAGTAAAATTAACAGGCATGATAGTGAAAGAGAGCATGTCAGTTGTACTATTTGTCTTAAACTGCAAATGGCAAGTGTGACTTCCCAGTAAGAATCTTGTTAATTGTGTGGAAATTGAACTGCTAACTAGATACCCTGGTAGAAATGTAGGAAATGTGGGCTCTGTCTGGAGCACTTCTGTGCCTCAACACATTTAGTAGGGATTGAAAAACGTAGCTTCAGAAAATAGTCACTGGTCAGTCATAAAGACATGTTAGTAATAACTAATAAAATAACTTCCTCTCCTTTGCTTCTCCAGCTATGCAGTAGCAGAATATTTTTAATTCTTTAAAAGACATGTCAATGTATAAGATTTTTCATAGAGCCAGCCATGTCAGTATTTGAAATTATATGTGAAATAGGTTTGTGGTGAGTAGAATCCTCAACGGGTTAAATAATTGGCTTTATTTTGTAATTACTTTCAGAGAAAAGATGTGACAAATGTTGCTGTTGCCATTTTCCGTATATTTTTGAAATACATAAGTGTGCCAAATGAGAAATGAAAGAGCTATCTCCACAGCTGGAGGCATCAAAAACTTCCATGTCACATTTGTATCAGTTATACATGTCTCTGTCAGGATTCTGAAAATTTTCACAGAAATAATTTGATTAGCAGGAATGTTTATGGCAACAGTGTACTGTAAGAAATAATTACAATATATTAAGAGAAATTAAATTTGAAATTATTAGTATTATTGCTAAAAATCAGAAAAGTATATCAATATAATTGATGGCACAAGAAACATGACCTTCATACTCCAGGACAACTAACCAGCACAGCTGAAAATGTGCAATAAAATGCTCAGATGCAAGAATTACTTGCAGAAATGATAGAGCAAAGAATTATGAATTTAAAAAATTCAGAGAAAGTTGCATACCCATTATAGTCAGTTTTAGAATACAGATGAATTTATAACAGAGAAAAAACAACAATTACTCTTTTTTTATAGCATTATATTATCACTTTACAAGACATAAGACTTAATCCCTGCCCTTAGTGTTCCTCAGATCTAAGACTGTTTTCTGTTTATACATGGATTCAATGCTCCAAAACTGGATCTGTTACCTGCAGACCCCACATCACGACAGTACAGGCAAATGCAAACCAGACAGAAGAAAACAATAATAACCACAAGAAAAATCCCAAAGAAATAACATTGTTATTGTAGTTGTTATTAACCATAGTTATTAAAAATTACACATTTGAGCAACTATAATTCAGTGATGGGAACAGTAATATGCATGTCTGTCATTCACAGCAATGGCATGGATCAGATGTAGGAGATTTTAAGAATCTAACTGAGCATAGAAAGGAAAAGATGTCAGCAAATGGCCCCAACCAGGAAGCTTAATCAGAAACAAATCTGTGATTTACTCTGAATTATTCTCTTCCCTCCTGAAGCAGAGAAAGGATGCTAACCACTTATGAGAACAATTGCTAATCACAGTAAAAATATCTGCCAGCTCAAAACCTCTGATCATAACAACAAACAGCTCCCTAGAACATACACAAAGCTGAGTTCATGTGGGGAAAAGAAGGAAAGGGAGGAGAAATCAAATCATTTCAGGAACAAATGATTGAAAACAATACCCTTAGTAACCTAAACCCTTCTGATGGCTCTGGCAGAACTGGCCCCGTTTCAGGGGCAGGGAAGGCCAGGGCCACTGGGCAGGCACTCCTGTGACTCTGGGACATCCCTGGCATCACAGGTATCTCAGAAATCCCTGCAGTTTGATTACAGCATTCTCTAGTTCTTCTTCAGTACATGTAAACCTACTTTGTCCTCTCTCTCCCTGCTGACAGGTAAAGGAACCTCAAAACTTGGAGAGTACTTCCTTCATGGATTTCCACAGAAAAAAAGGCACCAGGTCAGCACGGGCTTGCTCAGGCCATTATGCAGACCTTGCAAATTAGCTGCTCAAAACTGCAGACACACCCTGACCTTCTGTTTTGCTGGCTAGAGATCAGGACAACCTTCACAGCTATATAATATAATACTGTTGAACTTTTGTCTGCAGCCCTTTATTTGTAACCATTCTGACACATGAGATAAAAACAAAAGTTGTTCTTGAATTGCTTATGTTATATAAATATTTTTCTCTATACTAACTTCTGTTATATTCCTGGACAAAACCTGAACACACAGGGGATGGCAATTTAGTGACATTCATGTGTAGCCCTTTTGGGAAAAGCATTGTATATTATTTTTGATCTGGACTGGCAAATACAATCCCATGACATCACATTTAAAAATGGCTATGATCCACCCACTGAGAATGCCAAAGAAAAGCTGGCTGATTTTTTTTTTTAAAGGAAGCTAGCACAAAGATTACAAGGTGAAACAGATGTCTGAGGGTTGTTGTCTACACACAGAAAAACCCAGTTTCAAAAAGAAATATGTACAAAACGAAGTATGTTCTCTTTCAAAACTGTTTATATTTGCGCATTTGGCACTTAGCTGAACAGAACTGATGGGCATCCAGGTCACATTTCTCCTTTGTCTCCTTTCCTGTTTTTTGGTTTTTTTTTTTTTTTTTTTTAGACTTTTGGTTTCTTTCATTTTATTTCTCCTTCTTTCCCCTCATTTTCCCTCTCAGCTTTCTGTCTCAGCCCATCTCACAGGCCTTTCCATTTTTTCCTATTTCGCACAGCTTTGCCTTCTTATGATCCCTTATTATCATTGCCTTCTTATCATCCCTGAAGCTGTCCTACATATTTTGTCTGCCCCAGGCGTCCTCCTTTTAGTTCTTTGGTGTACATTTCCCTTTTTCCTTAATCCTTTACAATTCTTGTTAACTTTCTCTAGTGTGTTACCGGCAATAGGTTGACTTTTTGCAAATGGGGTTCAATCTAGGCGGAGCAGCCATGGCTGTTGGTTCTCAGCTGACAGATTAACTTGTGAGCAAGCACAGAAAGGTAAAAGCAAAAAGACAGCAATCACAGAAATGCTCATTATTATCCAGATCACCCCATGACTGCAAAAAATGCCCCCAGAAAATTATCCATTTGTGTCCATGGTGTCACATCACTGTTTCACACCTCTGTCCCTAAGCAATCAAGGGAATGTGGACCTCTCCTGAGTTCCCTTCTTTGCCCACCTCGGGACAAGAAAAGCACAAAGATGACACCTTCATTCTTCTAAGTCAGCAGCATGATTTTATTTTTAAATATAGCCTCTGTGCAAAGCTAGTCGCTGCTTTCTGGTCGGTACACTATATCTTCTTGTGCCCTTTCCCACTATAATTTACCCTGCTGGAATTGCTTCCATCTCGCTTAAGGTTCTCTGAAACTTGTTCTGCGAAACAGACCGCATTTGCTTGGTCTCAGTTTTGTCCTAATTATAAACCTGAATGCAGAGCGGTGACATGTTCTATTCCTCTTTTAGCCACACGCTTCCATAAATGCTGACAACTCAGGAGCTATGACAAACAGCCCTCAGCCCCGCGATGGAAATCGCCGCTGTCCTTACAGCACAGCCCCAGCAGATGGCAAAAGGGTCCGCCTCGGTGCTCGACAGACAGCGGTTTGACAGGACTGGGAAAACTCCAACACTTTTTATTCCTTTCCCCTTTCTTTCCTAAAATCCACCACGGTAGCACACTGAACCCAATCCCATTTCGCTCGTTAATTCAAGCGAATTAACCACACTACATCGCCTGTTCCAAGGACGTGACATGGGGTGACTGCTGCGTGAGGCACAAGCCCACACTGGCCCCCTGATGCCTGTTCTGCTTCGGTTTTTGTCTTCAGAAGTTTAAAACACTGAATGTCGAGACGCACTGTACTTGTGTAAGGACTGTAACGTGTTTGTGCCAACCGCTGTTGCAGCATTGCTTCAGAAGTAGTTACAACAGGCCAACTCTGTTACCGCAAGGAAAAGGGCATTATAAAAAACGAATTTGCATTTCACGTGCTTGAACACAGTCGCCGCGACATTTACCCGCTCCCCCAGGTATCGTTATCAACCTCCGCGGCTGCCGCAGCGCTCCGTGCGCTGTCCCCTCCCCGCGCCTCTGGACGCGCGTTCGCGCGGCACCGGCCGCCCTGACGGACCCGTCGGGTGACACGGCCCTGCCGGTGACACACCCCAGGTGGCACATCCCGGGTGACACCCCCCGAGTGACACCCCCCCGGTGACACATCCCAAGGGACACACCCCCGGGGACACCGCCGCGTCCCTCCGGGCCGGGCCCAGCGGGGCCTGCGCGGGCCGCGGCGCGTGCGCGGGGCGGGGCGG